TATTTCCTATCTTTAATCTGTCTAATAGCTCTTAGAAGGAAATTACTTTTCCTTTCTTATTCTTAATCATTTCGACATGACAATTAGACAGAAATTAATTAATTTCCATCACTAGTATTTCAAAAAATCTTAACAGACAGTTTCAGTCAATTAAGAACTCCACATAACATTCTCACGAATTCCAAGTCCACCCACTACATAAATTACTCAAAGTCTTACCGACTGATATTATTCAAAGCCACTGCCGCTAAGAATTTTTTCGGACCCCTACACTTCTGAGTCAGACACGAAGAGAACACTTTGCCGACTCCCCACTAGAAAGAATGTAAGTTACTTAATCCTTTTCTGGCCTTATATCTTAATGTAATACTGTCTTATATTTTTATTTTTGTATTATTTTATATTATTTTTGATTTGTTTTTTAAAAGTTTGCATTATTTATCTATTTGTAATCTTTCTATGTTTATTTCAACTTTACTTTGAATTCTATTTCCTAATGACAATTTCCAATGTTTAATTTTTACAAATAACATAGAACTCAAATGCATAAACATGAGGGTGTCGGGGACAGTTGCTCGAGTTTTTTCGGATTTCTCTACAGAAATTGCTTTTCACTCCAAATTGAATTGGCTAAAATGCTTCATAAGAATATGTTCTTTAAGTATCAGCATTGGTTCATAATCCCTTCTATTCGCAAAAATATTTGGCCTGACTAGAATTGCCAGTTGAGCTTTACCTTATAACTCGAGTAAAGACGAAACACCTTCGTATTTACGTATTTATTTATTAATTATTGTTCATTGAACGGGTTTGGTTGTTCCCCTTGAAAAGTCAACTAATTTCCTCCAATGACAAGATTACATGTTTTTAATTTAATTTTTCCTTTTACAATGAAATTTTGTTCTTCATGATGATTTAATTCCGTCCCCATTAAAAAATTATTAACATTTTACTTTCAAGTTACTTCAAAACATCTTCAAATACAAACTTACCAGTATGGGATTCACTCTTTGAAAATAATTCTACTTTAATTAAACTTAGGAGATAATATAATCAATTAATCAATATTGTTTAGGAAATAAATTATATATATATTATATATATATATATATATATATATATATGAATATTTAAATACTAATATAAATTGTGAAATTTTTTTTTTTCCTTCTTGGTTTTAAATTGAATTTCTGTTGTTAGAGATGATACATGGAAGTTTTCTATTATAAATTATATTAGTATGTAGTACATACATACATTTCTGAATACAATCCCGATAACAGAAGAGTACCATAATTCCTATACCTTGCATTACAACAGAAGGAACGCTACCAAATTTTTTGTTGAAATGGCCTTTGGCTTTGATTACATGAAAACTATTTTATGTCACAATATTATTTAACTCGTGTACTTAATAAGTACAATCAATCATGCATAATGTAAATATTTCAGGGTACTTTCCAATAAAGCCATATTATGTATTACCACAATGGTGCATTTTGGCTTATTTCTTTCTCCATGTCTTTAGTTGAAAACATTCTCTAATTTCATGATAAAATTTTCCAAAGGTACATTTTGGTGGCAGATTATAGCATATAAGATTTTCTCTTTTTGTGAATAAGCTTTCAACAACTTGAACATTTTTTTAGCATCCATTAACTTTAGTGTTAGGAAAAGATAACAAGGAACTGGCATACACCTCTCTCATACAATTCCAATCAAATGTTGTATTGGGATTGCATTAAAGCAGTAGTTATTAACCAGGAGTGCCTGCACCCCTGGAGGTGCAGGAATGTATTTTTGGGGATGCGGGAGAAGCCTTTACCTAACCATAAAATTATTAAATATCATTTATTAAATTTCTTATAATAAAATATTTGAAATCTGCAATAGTGTCTCCAATACTGAAGCTCATAAAAATTGGTAGCACCTAGCTCACTTATCAGCAAAAGACACAGGAAAGAGCCAGTGCCGATGGGCGTATACACTACGCTACGAAAAGGCATGAAATGCTACAAACGAACGCGAACAGGCAGCTAGGTGACGGAGAAAAGAAAAAACTTTGTGGGAATACAAGCGGAGAACGTTATCCCAGCTTGCGCATGCGCTGAGTTCAATATGTGCTACTCCAATGGAATCTATGGATTCACAGATTTGTATCTGCATCTACTGCGCCTGTGTTAGGTTGAGTCAAGTTGAGTCAACTATTGTGTCTGCGACATGTGTATTGTGTATTCTGACTTGTCCAGAAACCTCTTGAGACTAATACATTCTTAATTGCCCGTTCAAGCCGAATAGGATTCAGTGATATTACAAACGTAAGAACATTATATATATATTATATTACATTATTTCTAAATAATTAAATCGAATTATAGTGAACCCCACTATGTCAAAAAAAAAATGACAATGGAACGATAAGTATGTCGGTTATGGATTTACCTGCACAACCGAAAAAGATGGCACGCAACGACCGCAATGCATCTTGTGTTCCAAGATATTTTCAAACAGCAATCTCAAACCATCAAAGTTATTAGAGCATTTCAACAATCTGCATGGTGGCGAAAAAGCGCATAGCATGAACAGCTTGAAGTCAAAGAAGGCTCGGTTTGATACCAGTGGAACTATCCTAAAATTGTGCGGACCAGCAATTCAAAAACCTTTATTAGAAGCGTCATATCAAGTGGCATATTTATGTGAAAAAAAAAAAAAGAAACCTCATACGATCGCTGAAGAGTTGATTAAACCTTCTGCTTTAATTATTGTTAAAACAGTTTTGGATTCGGAACCACATAAAAAAATCCAACAGATTCCATTATCGAATGATATTATACGATCACGAATACAAGATCTCAGTGAAGATATTTTAATGCAAGTAATTGAAGACATAAAAACCAGTCCACTAAAAATAAGCATGCAATTGGATGAGTCAACTGATGTTGATAATTGTAGCCAACTTTTGGCATTTGTCAGGTATGTGAAGGAAAAAGAGGTGAGAGAAGAATTTCTATTTTTTGAGCCACTGGAGGTGAAAACGAGAAGAATTGATGTTTTCAATTGCATCAAAGATTTTTTTACTAAATATCAATTACCAATGAATGTGATTGGCTCAATATGCACTGATGGAGCCCCAGCAATGTTACGCAAAATTTCAGGATTTTTTCACACACATGAAAAGAGAAATTACCGGAAGTTATAATAACGCATTGCATGTTGCATTGTCATGCACTTCCGTCGAAAGCATTGCCAGAAAGTTTAAAACAACATCTAACCACAGCAGTAAATGTAGTAAAATACATCTGAGGGCGAGCGCTTAATCATCGCATTTTTCATGCATTTTGCGAAGAAATCGTGCTCCTATATCACACCCAAATACTATGGTTATCTAAGGGTCGCATGCTTAACAGAGCTTTTGAATTGCGTGAGGAAATTACTCAATTACTGACTAGTCAAAACTGTTATTTAGTAAAAGATTTTGAGAGCAATGATGAGGCTGGCCTACTTAGCAGACATATTTAGCCATTTAAATGAACTGAATCTATCAATGCAAGGATTTGGTATAAATATAATAATATCTAGTGAAAAATTATCTTCATTTATCGCAAAATTAGAAATTTGGATACGTCGAGTAGAAAAGGGGAATTTTGCAAACTTTCCCTTGCTTGATTCTGTTATTGCGAAAAATGAAAAGAATACAATTATACCCGACATTGTAATACATTTGAGACGATTGAGCGAATCATTTAATGGATATTGTTCTACCAGAAATATTAATAAAAATTAAGAGATGGATACTGGATCCATTTCTATTTGACTTAAATTTGATGAATGATAGTGATCTGAAAAAAGATCAACTTATTGAAATGCGAGCAAGTGGACATGTTCAAATGGAATTCGAACAATTAGAATTGCAACAATTCTGGTGTTCACATTTACAACGTTATTCAGCACTGCAGTTACTCTTACCCTTTGCTACCACCTACTTGTGCGAAATGGAATTTTCATTGCTTTTGCATATAAAAACTAAAGCGAGAAATTGCTTAAATGCAAGTGATGACTTACGCGTATGTCTTTCAAAAAAGGAACCTCGCTTCGCCAGTATAATAATGAACAAACAACAACAGACTAGTCATTAATAAAAATAATATTGTTTAGTATTTATATAAACTGTACAATGTTTTTCAATAAACAATAAGTTTCGCAAAAAATGTATTTTTCTAGATTAAAAAAATTAAAACACATTTTTCAATGAGGTGCGGAGATATATTTTAAGATTCAATGGGATGCGACTCGCTAGACAGGTTAAGAAACACTGCTTTAAAGAAAGTTTCGGTTCACAAAACTTAAGTAAAATAAATCACGTGGCAGTAATAAAGGAACTGCATGCTTCAATAAATCCTGTTTGTGTTCAGGCATGAACAACAGATGCACAGATAAAATGTCATATTTTAATTTCACAAAATAGTTATTCAACCAGAACTGTTTTTCATGAAGAATATCTCTTTCTTGAAGGAGCCAGCTGTTCCTGTCTTGGCAAATTTCAGGAAATATCCATTTAGTGCCGCCCAGATGGTATAGTGTTTAGGGGAGCCAACTGCGATACCAAAACACCCAGGCTCGAATCCTGGAAAAGCCATGTCTGTAACTGTCCGTCCCTTCATATATGGCAAAAGGTAACCCACCTATCAGATGCCTACATAATTAAGTGACCACCACTTTTGGTATTAATAGTGAACAAGCTGAAGTCGGCTGAATGCCTGCCATAAAGGGGGAGGAGATATCCATTTAGTTAAAAAAATAATAAAAAAAACTGATTACATAAAAACATGTTTAAGTTATCAACAAGACAATTATTTACTCCATAGGCTCTTCAGATGCTTGCTAATATCTCACGTGCAATCGAGTATTTCTTGGAAGTAGAAAAACCAACAAAGGGATATATAAAAATTTAATTACTTATCTAATGACACTGTTAAGTGAGTAAAAACATTGGTACTTACGTATTGTCCCATCGAACGCAAAAAGTTGGCAACCATCGAACCATAAATGTTGGCAGAGATCATGGCAAATTTGCACCACTGTTCCTGTGGATTTCTGAAGGAACTGATGCCTCTTTATTTAATCAACAAACAGTATTCAATTCATTTTGTAAAAAGGCTTTCATTCATTTGCACTATATTGTCAGGTGCACTGATTTTACCAGAAGCTCTGTTTAGAACACTACAAGTACAAATTTCCCACAGGTAATTATTCCAATTGATTCTTGTTTTGTCGATTATATATTGTGTTTATTAACAAAACTCTTTTTGGATGGCAAGATCCCATAACTCAGAAAATAATCCACTGCCTGCTGTTCTGTAGAAGGCTGGTCCCAAATTTTATATTTTTTTCAAAATGCAAGAAAAATTACAGCAATAGAAGTTAATTTATATCCTTACATATAAAAACAACAGGTGACTAATCAACAATCGATTCAGGTTACATCAAATGAAAAGGCAAATGTTATGAGTATGTTGTTACATCACACGTACTCGTATTTGACGCTAAATCGTGCTGTCTGGCAAGAGTTTCACGGTCAACAGAATAAAATTAAGTACCAAAATATCTGATATTTATCTTACCTAGTCATTGTTTTAAAACATTAAAAACTTTTTTTTTTCTTTTCATTTTGAATCGTGTCCACTAATTTTCAGTCACCCTGTATTATAATGCTTTCAGATATGCAGATGTATCACAATTAAAAGATATTTTAACTACAACTGATATAAACTTTCCCATCAATATTATGTAAATAAAACACTTTACCGCAAAGTTCCCAAGTGTCTCAGTTCAGTAATCACATTTTTACATTCTTAAAAGTCCGTGAACAGATTACGGTAGTAAATACTGACTGTCGACTACATTACATGTATAGTTTGAAATCCCTGGGTTTTAATAACTTGTCAAGAGCTGAAATTTAGAGTCGTTCCTCACAATAAAGTTTCATTAATCACAAACAGCCATGTTCATATTCACACAAGAAATCAAGATTGCTTTACGCTGAGTTTTAGCTTTAGGTAAAGCAGCTTGTGTTTCGTTTTGACATGTCATTACATCAAAGGATTGTAAATTCTTATAAGGTCTGTAATTTTGCAAGGATGCCATTTTGCTAGACGAGTTATCCCCTGAAACAAAATTTAAATTATTCTGAATTGTATTTAAAAAAATTTTTTAACGTCACAGAAATTATATTTAAATTTTACTAATTATTTCATTTTCCACAAATTATACATTATCAAGACTTTTCCTATCGATAAATGAGAATATCTAGAATGCTGGTCTTCAAATATCCAGAAAATTTTATGATTTCATTCATTAATTTCACTCTTATCACAATTTAAATTGCTTTACATATTCCATTTTGAACTTATGATATTCATAACTATGTTATTTAGTTTGTTTATCCTTCTTTTTTAACATTTTATTTATCATTTGCTCTTGTAATGGTAGTGTTAGATAACACTACCATTACAAGAGATAAGGTTAGATGAGTGCTATAAGGTAATCAAAATTCTACAGAGTGTATAATTAATAATATACTATGCAAGATTCATCCTATCTACTAAATTTTTTCAAATCTAAAGCCTATAATTTGAAAGGTTCTGGAAATCCAGAACCTTTCAAATTAGTCACAGAAGAATAATAAGGACACAGGATCATTCAATATTAAGCTTTTATTTAAAGCAAAATTAAAAATCTAAATTTAAGAAATTAATACATTTAATAATGTATTTTTTAAGAGGAAACATACACGTACAATGCACATGTGACACTAAAATCTGTCCAGAAAACTAAATCTTAGTTATGGCATACAATATTAGAAAGATGTGATACTAATGCTCCATGCCCACTGATATTACAGGAAGTATTCTTTCTTAACAAACACTTCTAATGAAAATCTTTTCAAAACTTTAAATTAAAATAGTTAATGTTATTTTAGGTTAATATTTCAGATTCAAATGATGAAAAAAGGATAAAATTGAAGTATTTGAGTTTTAAATCCTTTTCAAGAACTGTGGGGATTTAATGTTTAATCCCATATATAAATGCAAAATATAAAATTTAAACAAATTAAATTTAGTTGGCAACAGCCATTACCATTTCGGTACTATTCTGTTATCAAGCCCAGGTCCAGATATGTATGTTTGTATGCATGGATAGATGTGTTCATGTATACAGATGTCTTTTCACTAAGGTTTTATAATTTCACTTACGTTTTAAATTCTTTGGATTATGTGCTGTTAGTTTAAAGGTGAAATTTTGATTTGAATTTTTCAGTAAAGTATATTTTTATTTCACTTATATTTTAAATTCTTTGAATGAATTCTCTTCAAGATTTTAATTTGAAATTATTTTGTTTTTTCCTTGCTTTGGGGAGGGGCTAGAATTTTTGGGTGAACTATTATAATTAAAATACATTGAAATGGTCCATCAGCTAATTCTGGACACACACAAAAAAGGGATTTTTGTGGAAGAGAGATTTCAATGTTCCTCTTCCTGATGAAGTGGCATTGAGGTTGATTGAATTCCTCTTCTATTAAGTTCTTTTTTCTTTAAACTTCCTTGATTTTTTTAAATTGGGGTATTGCTTGTCTGAAGAGTTTTGGTTTTAAAATTTATTAAATCATCCATTGCATTATAGGATTAGTTGAAATTTATTACTTATGAATTTCAATTTTTGGTCTTTGTGAAAAATTGGCTCTAAATTTTATGTCTTTACTGATAATTTTTCAGCAGTTTAATGCACGAAAATTCTAGACATGATTATGTTTTGTTTTTAAAATAATTGTTTTGTAATTATGTACATACACTTCTGAATCTGGTCCTGATAACAGAAGAGTACCAAAATTTCTAATTTCAATGCAACCCCTGTGCAGCATCTGCACTAATGTCATTCTTTGCCTGAAGATATTCACCATTTGAGTCATCATTTTCTCCACAATACTGTAAACTTTTATCCAGATCAAGAATCAAAACTCAAACAAAAGAACCAAGCTATTTGATCACAAACACACTGCATTAAATTTAACTTTCGAAATAACGAACAAGAACACATTCAGTATTGCATTAATATTTGACTTTAAACTTGTAGAATAAGCAGACCAACTCTAAATAATGGTTCAAAGAAAAGAAAATTTCCTACACAACACTTTAATGGCATGATAACCTTGTCACAGATATTGGAATCGCTCTTACTTTTCACTGACACAATTAAAGTACATTAATACATTAACTGTCTTTCGAAATGTCGAGTCATAGCAGCAATTCGAGTTGATAACACAATGCATTGCAAGATTGCTAAGCACTGCACGAGTGGAAGAAGAGATTATGCATCAAGTAGTCAGCTTATTTATAAGCTTGGTTGTGTGATTACAGAGAATTTAACTGATGGGAAAATATAGGTTGGAAGTCAGTTAGAATGTACATTGTGTATTGTGCATCGTAAAATGGCTGCCGGTGGTAAAGTGGGTGTTTGGTGGTATAGAATGAGAGAGCAGAAGGCGTTTTTTTGAAGTGGTTGAGAACAGAAGAAAAGAAACCTTGTTTAGAGTAGATTTAAGGGTGCCCCTTGTATTATCGTGAAGTTGTTTCTTCCTTTATCACCAAGCTGTTGTTTCATTTATGGTAACCTAAGTAGTTGAATATTATGGAAAACATATTTTGACATTATTGGTTGCGTGATTGCGGTGAATTTCAATGATGGGAAAAGATTTGTAAGGGCTTATGGCGTGTGTTGGTTAGGAAGTTCGTTTCTTGTTTTGTGGTTTAGATGGTAAAATGGCTGAATGTGGCGAGATTAATTTGAAGTTTCTGTATGATTTGGAATGAAAGGGGAAATCATCATTAACTGGCTGGTGTGTAAATGAAGGTTTACTTTGTAGCCATTATAAGTGAAGGAAGTTTGTAAGAAGAAAATGCGTATGTTCGAAAGTCGGAAGACACCGGCACTACCGAAGCTATTTCTTACTTTCCCCCCTTTTTTGTGTATGTGTGAATTTATGTGGTGACGCCAGTATACAGATTATAATTCAGAAAATTTTAGAAAGTTTTTGGATGCTGTTAATGAATTTTGTTTCACTAAAGACAGAGCAATTTTAAAATAAAGTAAATGGATATTTTCTTTGTGTAGTGCTAAGATGAACTTCCTTTTTTATGTTATTTGATTTAACCCTCTGAGCGGCCAGGGTTTTCGCTAAGAAAGCACAAATTTCGCAAAACAACTATGAGAACAAATTATTTTTTTGATTTTATTGTAAAACTCTCCTCGTATTTCATATCTGGATTTGTGTACATTTGATATACTGCCTTAATTTCTTTGACATTCTTTAATATACACGTATATATACGTTCTTACAGATATCACAAAAGATATTCTAGGGCGTATATATATATAATAATAAGAAAAATTGTAGTGAGCTCGCCAAAAAGTTACCAGGAGCTGTGGCTCCAAGAAATAGTTCAACACAGTATTTTTTAATCAATGACATTGAAGGGTGAAAAATTAGGCTACTTTATATATGGCCTTGCCACTTAGAGGGTTAAAATGTAGTTTATTGAGATTATATATTTTTTTTTGGCTGCTACTTTCACTTTTAAAGTGAAAATAGATCGATGTGTACATTGACAAAGTCAAGGGAGTGCACAATGCAAAAGTTTTGCAATTCTCTGATGTTCTTTTAAGTGAAAATAGGTTGATGTGTTCATGGATACTGAGTTCGTGCAATTCCTTGACTTGTTATTTTGGCTTTGTGCGGCGATGATTTTTGGCATCGCCGCTACATAAAGTCAAAGATTTGCACAAACTTGGTGTCCATGTATCAACTGCCAAAAATCCCCAATTTTTTCCAAGGGCACCCGTAAATATATTTTTACCTACGATTCTTTCCTGCAGTGTCATTTTGCTATTGAATAACTAATAAAACACAATTTCATTTTGTGATGTTTTGTGCATTATTTTCCATCATGAATGACACCTTTTCTTTGAAAAAATTCTGTTGAAAATTTTCTTCCTCGGATCCCAAATTGTTAGATCCATGGCATTATAAAAAATTTTTTAAGTTAAACCAGTATTTCAAATGCGATTTCAAAAATCTAAAAAAAAAAAAAAAAAAACAATAACCTGTTTTATTTAAATTGACATGCAGTTTCCAATTAAATGGCACATTTATTAGATTCACTTTTTGCACATACATTTTCACTGTGGTTTCATATGGTTCCCTACACAGAAGAGTAATCATTTTTGTTAGCATAATTAGCAAAAGTTTGTATATTAAGTATCTCAATTACAGAAACCTTCTCATCTCTCATGCTTGAACATTATCATTTGTAAACTGTCGTTACATTCATTTCATACAAAAGAGAAGAAAAGTGTTCCTCCAAATGTGGCATGTGATGCAAACATAAATATTACTTATTATTCGACTAATTAATATGTAAATATGTGCTACCTCATTTCTTTGATCCGATTCTCTAAGATCCTTCCAGTTATTTATTAATAAAAAACTCTGTTTTCTTTCCTCTCCAACTCAGTATATTACAAGAATTTCAGTACTGAATTTCTGAATTGGCCTTAATTACAATACAAGTGCTTTTTATAATGACAGGCGAGCTGGAATAATGTATATGGCATGTAAGTGACAATCACATTGATTTCTGTGAACTTGTGAAATATGCACAAACAGAATACTACCATAAACTTTCACTTTTTTCTCAATTAGAAGATACACAACACATCTCTCTATTATAAAGTCTATAACAATTAGAAAAAGAAATAACTTTAGGAAGTAGAATAGAAGGAAAGAGAGAAGAAGTTAACAAAAAAAAAAAAAAAAAAAAGATGATAGAGATGCAACCCGGTTATATAGATAGTATAAATTTTTGGTACTCTTCTGTTATCGTGGCTG